CAGTTTTATTATCATTATATTCTTTAATTGGTAGGACTGTAACTACTATTTTTGCTCCTATTAGTATGATTTATTGTATTTTCTAGCATGTTTAATTTTTAAGTGTGATAGGTTATTTGGATATTCTACAGATTCAATGAATTACTATTGATTGTTGACTTTTATTATATATATATATATATATATATATATATATATATATATATATATATATATATATATATATATATATATATATATATATACATATATACATATATACATATGTGTATATATATCCACACATACAAATACATGTGTGTATGATTTCAACTACGCTATAGATTTATTAGATCATATAGATTTCTTTCTCTCTTTTCTTTTTATTTATCAATATTTGCCCATCTTCTAAAAACTCATCTCACATAATATAACCCAAGCCATCCACACCTGCTTTTTACAACCCACACCTTACGTATGAACTAAAAGCACCCAATCCACTTCCCTTTTACTCTCACCTGATTACCCTACAAAGAGCCTTAAAACCCAAGAGGCGCCGTGGCTCATGTACTGTGTCGTTGCAGGTGTCGGTGTCGTCAACAGGAGAAGATGGCAGAGAAGTGGCCAAGATGGTGCTGGATCACGAGGGGAATCCGGAGTGGAAGTGCCACTCGTGCGACTTCAGGTGAGCGTGAGTGAATCGTGAAGGAAATGAAAATCGAAAGGGGTAAAATGACATTGGAAGGTGAAAGGGATGAAAGGATCCTTGGATGAGGGAGTGACAGGGGATTGAGGGGAATCAGGGGATGAAAGAAATAAGAATAAAAAAAAGTATGAAGAAATTGGAAAGTGAAAGGGATGGAAGGATTCTTGGACGAGGGATTGATGCTTGATTTTAGCTTATGGGTAAAAGTAGTTTAGGTTTAATGGGGAGAGAAAGAGGGATGGGAATGTTTATGGTTAAGGGAAAGAGGATTTATGGGTAAGGAAGGTGAGTGGAACGGAAGTTTTGTTCTCATTGAGTGGTGAAAAGGTAAAGGTAAAAAAAAAAAAATCACTGAAAATTTTGTATTGTAAAACAAGAAAAGAAAAAATATATGTATATACATAACCTCATAAAAAAAAAAAAAAAAATCATGTATATACATTACCTGGAGAAACAAGAAATTGAATCACTGAAACATTCAAGATAAAAAAAGTTATCAAAATGAGAGCCCAGCACTAGCTTCGTAATATGCCCCACGGTTTGCTTACATATAACCACCAAAGTTCAAGAGATACATTGCATATTACCCAACTGCTAATTCCAACCCAGTAAACAAGATTCAAGTATTACAAAGTGCTGTACGACTAGAAGTACATATAATGTTGAGCTGGATTCATTGTGTGTCTTGGTAGGGAAACTGCAGCTTGTTAACTAGAGGTGGTAGAAAGTCCACACTTGCCTTGATTGGTGACACCCAGTGGATTACCGAGGGAGAGAGTTGGCGCTTATAATACATATCCACACTTTTTCTCTGGATATGTATTAACATGGCTGTAATTGATTAGGATCAAGTAGAGTAGGTTAGTAGATTGATTAAATGAGAAAGATGAAGTGATGTTAGTGGGTGGGTAAGGGAGCCAAAGATTTTATTAAACAAAATCAGATTACTGTTCTGAGGCCTAAGTAGCCCTGATATTTAATCCTGAGTATTGTGTAATGGCATTGTTGCTTTCATATTTCTCTTATAATGATTAGGAAGTATTAGAATCCATTACCTTTTCTTTCTCCCAGTATAAACTAGCCAATGTTCATCCCCTTTCTCCCTTTCTGATAAAACAGAGACAGCGAGCGTGAAACTGTTGTTCAGCATGTGCGACTGGCTCATGGCCGAGGAGGACCTGTTTCCTTGCTCCATGCTGTTCATCGGTGTGATGTGTGTGGTTATGCTGCTGGAACCAAGAGGGCTGTTCAGGTGAGCATTTGTGAAGAATCATGTGTCTGTGTATAATGCACATGTAAATGGTGTCTGAGAAGTGTTTATTTCATGTGCTTCTGATTTTGAATTCATTTGTCTTTGTTTGTTATAAAGGTAGGAAAGAAATATGCATTGTAATGTGAACACATGAGAAACTGATAGTCCTTTTCATTTATTTTGTGTTTGTTTTTTTTTCTATTTTTTCATGTTTTTATAATTATTTAATAATTGTACTGATAATTATGAAAGCATTGATATTGATAAAATTAGAAAAAAAAAATTCTACAAATTCAAGAAATGAGGGAATCAGGTCAGGTCAGGTCGTTCTGGGTTTATTCATAGACTCTGCCTGAGTACTTTGTGCTACTCGGGCTATCTGTGTGCAACAAAATTCACAAAAGATTGCTTTAGACAGTACCATGGGTTAAAAAAGAAAGTGAATAGGCCATTACAGCAGAGGTGCATTAATTAAAAGATCTTAATAAAGGTAATGATTATATTGATGATGAGTAGGATTATGACTCCTACAACTTGACAAAGATAAATTTACCATCCAAAATCATCTTGTTATATTTTAACCCACAATCCTGATGACAAGACCATCACATCATGAAAAATTTTATTTTAGAGGCAAATGACATGAACATGCTGTCATAGGAAAATCTGGCTGTGTGCCGGCTGAGGCAAACTTGCCGTCATGGTCATATAGGCTGTCTTGATATTGTGATCTAAATCTATAATTCAGAGTTAATAACTTTCCACTCTGTGCAGTCAGTTAGCAAACTTTTGATAATATGGGCAATGAAATAAGGTACACAGAGGGACTAAAGATTATATACTGCTTTATTATTGATTGAAATGATACTCCTCATGAGCATATAGATTCTCAGGAAATTATGTGTTTAGTTATTGTTATCTGTTTCAGAAGATGTAAGTGATATAGCATGAAAATTCTGAACCTTACTTGTGACATTTTTGTGCTTTAAGTACGAAATATGTGATTCAAAGTTCCAGAATCAGGTACATAGTAAGCTTTTTCAAACCACAGAGAAACATTATTTAAAGTTATGGAGTCTTCTCACTCTCTTTCTCCCTTTTATTTTCTTTTGGTGTTGTTTTGTTGCTGCTGCTGTTATTATTGTCATCGTCATCATTGTCATTCTTAAAATTTTGTGCCGTTTATGAAGGAAATGTAATTTGAAACCATGGCAGTCAGAGTTAGCATTATTCTCATTTTGGCAACATATTATGTAGTCCAGTTACCTTAACACAGTCGATCTTTCTCTTTTGGAGGATTGAAGCTGAACGAGTAGAAAATAATTTGTCTACCACATAGAAAAAAAAAAATTGAATCCTATACTACTCCTCTTTTCTTGCAAGGTGTTCAAGTAGTTTGCGTGCCTTATGACAGTTAATGGGAATCGAGGTAGACTTTAGGAAATATAGAAAAGGTGAAAGTGACTGATGAATCTGCCTCTTTATTTTTATTTTTATGAGATTATTTTTTTATTAGAAGTAATTTTCTTTTGTTATTATTATTATTTCACATATTGCTATTATTATTGTGATGATGACAATTAGTAGATTAAATTAAGTGACCTGAATTTGAGGGAGTAACACCAGAAGTAGTATTAAGATTTTCTTAGATTTGAAAGCAATATTGGCAAAAAAAATGACAATGACAGAAAGTAAATTAATTATAAAAGATGATGCTAATGATACCAATGATATGATTATGATATGATAATGATGATGATGATAATAAAAAATCTAGACTATTAGCCTTTTCATTATCTGTATGACTTTCTTCCCATAGCAATCTCAGTGTAATATTTTGATTATTATTTTATTGTATATCAGTGTTTCATTTTATTACCTTTCCTAGTTTGGCCTAGCTTTCCTAATTACAATTGTCCTCATCAGTGACAATAATAACTGTCAATTGTCATCAAAAACATTTGTTGTCTGCAGCATGAGCAGCTCCACTGTATAGTGGAATTACTAACTCTTTTTCTCATCTCTTTCAGCTGCACATTGACAGCAGTCACGGAGGCCAAGGTGGCATCACCAGCCGCTGCGAGGGACAGACCCCAGACTCAAAGGATAACTCAGGTATAGTGCAATTTTGGGCGAAAATACAGGTTGAGTTGAGATCAAGGTGATGTTGCCGATTACGGGGTTACAAATGGGATGATTAGTTTTTGTTTTGTCCATTTTTGTTTGTTTATTGATGGTAAGAGATTTCATTATAAGTATTTTGTCTGCTTTGTGCACTTGAGAGAGATGGTCTTTTTGCTGTGTTACTTTGTGAGATATTGTTAGATATTTGATGCAAGACAGGTAAAGTGGGCCTTCCTTGATTTTCTTTATATATATATATATATATATATATATATATATATATATATATATATATATATTATATTATATATATATATATATATATGGAGAGAGAGAGAGAGAGAGAGAGAGAGAATATGTTCAGTTTTTTGGTTGAGATTTATGTATAAGCCCAATGCCAAGTATTATAATCTTTTTAATCAGGAAATGAATAATTTGAGAGAGAAATACTTAATTAGTATGATGCAAATAATTTCCCCAATATTACGTGGTGAATAATTCCTTTACAATTAGCTACTTTTGAGAAGTGAAAAATGTTATGATGTAATTAAATCCTTATGCCTTGAATTGCCTTGTTTATCAGCTGTTCTTGTTCTCCAGGGGATTCGGAAAACATGGAGTACAATGAGAGCACGCGAATGTTCCAGTGCCGTCAGTGTCCTTTCTCCAGCAAGAAACGCAGCGAGATGAGGTCGCATGTGGTTTACCATTCCTCGCGGCCAGACTGCATCTTCAAGTGCATGTTCTGCCCTTTCTATGTTCCCACTAAAGGGTGAGTTGGAGGAAAGGAAAGGCTTCCCGTCAAATTTTCTTCTTCGTCTTCTTCCCCTTTTAAATTTGTTGTTCCTCCCCTTCCCGTATTTTTTTCCTACCCCAAAAAAATAAGAAATAGAAAAGAGGAAAGGCTTGAACATGAAAAAATTATCATAGTGTTTAATTTTTGGGGGATTAATTGTTGTTAAAAAGATACTGAAACCATGGTCTAAAAACCATAATAGTACTAAAGTTTATCGCATGTAATACAAACGCATTCTAAAAGAAATCCATCTTTACAGTGAGCTCTTTGAGCACTTGAATGTTCACGGAATGGAAGTGCCAGCCTCTGTGCTCGAAGCTGCCAGCAAAGTATCCAGCACTCCTGCACCTGTGCCTGTAAGTTTCATTTAACAAGTTACAGTAAATTTTGTATCTGTTATGGGTATTTTTAAGCAGGAATAAAAATTCATTATAAGAATTAAAGAATTGGTGTGATTTAGATTAATTAATTTACAATCTTAATATCCGCCCAGAGATCACAATAAAACTGTTATTACTCATGAGTTTGGATCAGAGAAGGAATATGATTTCCCATCATTTATACTTTATCTCAATCCAGCTTTTCCTATTCTTTGACTCAAGCTAATTTTTCCTTTTTCTTTCTGCAGCAAGAGGAACCTGGAAGTGGATCTCGGAACCTTGCCTGTGACAGCTGTCCCTTTGAGACCAGGAGTCGTGCGAAACTGATGCATCACCGCCAGTTCCATAAGCCCAAAGGTCTACCTTTCCGTTGTCCTCACTGCACCTACAATGTAACACGTCGCCACCTCTTATCCCAGCACATCCGTGTGCATGGAATGGATCCGGTGTTGGATGACAGCATCGAGGTGAGCAGCGTTAATGACAATAATCAGGCAGATGACAGGTCCAATTCTCCTTCTCCATCTCTTACCATCACACCCGTCAACAATGTGGCAGCAAGTGGCAATACAGGCGATGATAACACAGTCACAGACTCCTCCTTGCTTCCCAAGTTGACAGACCAGAGTACCATGGTTTTAGATGACATACCACTTGTTTGGGTGTCTAGAGATAATCGTTTCTTTAAAATGTTCAAATGCAGGCATTGCCCACATGTCAATTTACGTAAAACAAATATACAAGAGCATGAGAAAATGCACAAAACTGACTCAGCAGAGAAAGCGGTGGCTTACATTGTCCATATTGCTCTTACGTTAGTGTTAATGCCGGTGTTATGTCAGCACATATGAAGGTACATGCTGGCTCCATGGGACAGTGCCATGCCATTGTTGACCCATCCCTCTCAGATGAAGACCAGTTGAGACAGCTCACAACAAGAGCTAGTACAAGTCGCCCAGAGACTCCGCAAACCCCAGAGATACCAGGGATTAGTGCAGCGCCCGCAAGAAAAGCAGATGAGAAGGTGATTTACTACTGCCAACAGTGCCCTGCTAGATTCTTCTTTGAGAAGGAGATTCAGATTCACACCCGGTTCCACACAACGAGCCTGCCTCATAAGTGTGATCACTGTAACTACGGTGCACGACAGCAGGCTCACTCCTCGCACATCTCAAGGTGCACACACCTGAGTACCAGCAACGTACTCGCACCATGATGGGTCAGCACCGAACTGCTACCACTCATCCCCGGTTCCTGGGCTAACGATCCCCCACGAAACATCTGTGGAGACTTCTGGTGACAGCCATGAGTCGGCCAACAACTCTCGGCCATTCACAGCATCCCCACCTCCTACCTCCGTTCCACAGCCTCCCCCTACAAGCAAGTACATGTGTGATGAGTGTCCAGCATCATTCTCCAAGCTGTTGACCTTACAGTACCATCAGTCTCTCCATGGAGCCAACAACCCCCACAAGTGCCAGCGATGTTCATATGCAGGCAAGACAGAAGAAAATCTCCAACAACACCACCTCTTACACAGTCAGTATGATGAGACCATACAAGCAGAAAAAGCATCCAAAGAACCACCACCTCCTCCTACCCCACCTCCTCCTCCTCCTCTCCTCCTGATCCTGCTCCTTCTCCTAAACCTGCACCTGTCCCTGTTTAACTCCGAGTGAAACCCCAGCTCCAAAGCCCCAGAGAGAGAAAAGCCAGCCCCCCAGAAGAGCCTTCCAAGAAGAGCACTGAGAGGGACTACTCATATCATCCACCAATCAAACTGAAGCTCATTGGCCTGAGACCAATTGCTTCAGAAAGTGGTGGGCGGCCTCAGTTCAAGTATTACGTTGAAGAACAGATTCCTCTGTCTGGCGTGGACTTGCTGAGACGGAAAACACAGCTGGAGAAGGAAGGGCAGGATAAAATCACCAATAATGAATCAGGAAGTAGCAAGGGGTACAGCGGGAAGAGCAAGTCATCGAAGAGAAAGAGGATGTGGAAGAGGATGACCCCAAGAGGGTAGGTGACCCGAAATTGTACTACCCAATGCACATAGACAAGGTCACAGGGAAATCACGGGAAAAGAGGTACAAGTGTAAACAAGTGCCCTTCAGCATTTGAGAAGACAGAGCAGTACCATGTTCACTCCAATCTCCATGGTTCGAATCACAAGTACAGGTGCCGCATATGTGATTACTCAGTGAAATTCTACGCCAATTTCATGATGCACATTAACCGCCACAAATACCACGAGCGGATGCTCTCCCAGAATGGTGAGGGCCCTCCACCCGAGGACATTGACCCCAAGTATGAGCCCATCATCAGCTCTAATGAAAACAACATCCAGGGAGAAAAACCGAGCAAGAGCAGGGGGGAAGAGTCCAACAAAGAGAATCTGGATGATGTTGACCTAACCACTTCAGAGCGCCAGCACCTCCTTTTACAGAACAAGAAGGGGGTGAAGGAGCCAACCAACAAAGAAGATGAGAAGGAGAGGAGAGTCTATTACTGCCAGTATTGTCCTTACGCTAATGTCAGACGCGACGCAGTGGATAGCCACAGTTTGCGTCACCAAGCCAATGGTGGGTATGGTGTCTACAAGTGCACTTTCTGTGACTACACAGCCTCGCAGCCCAACTTCATCCGTGAGCATACCAAGGTCCATTTCCGTCCCTTCAAGTATGTTCATCCTGAGGGATTCATGCGCCATGACCGTCAGGAGATCCTAAGTGCCCCCATTGTACCGCCAGGATCCAAAGCAATCGACGGTCCCAAGTTGCAGGACAGTAAGAACGCAAGCAATGTTGAGGACAGGTACCTTATTTTCTCCCATGACACTGGCGTGTACAAGCCACCCATTATCAGTAACCCAGGGGAGGAAGAGGAGCCCTGACTCTCACATCGCCAGTGGAATCCAGGTCAACTTCCGTTCGGGCGACATCGTGGAAGCGCCCAACGACTTCGTGATTTCCCTCCGGCCCGGCGCCAAGATCCGCAGCGGACCAGGGATGATGGAGTCCAGCGACCCTTTCGCTACGGACGGACTGGACTCGGCAGCCTCCAGTGTACAAGGCGAGAGTACTCTGTGTAGCGCCGACATCATCTCCAAGTCTCCCAGACGAGCCGCTACCGGAGAACGAGGGTGCGAGCGAGGACAAGACGGAGAGTATGGATGTAGACCCACACGAAGACCCCACAGAGGGAAAGAGCCAGGCGCAGCAGGAGCCCCTCGAGGACGACCAGGAAACCAGGCTGACCAACGGCCACGTCCATATGGAGGTCGGAGAAGGGTCCAAGGAGGCCACCGACAATGAGGAAGAGAGTGCGAAAATGGAAGTGGTGGCAAAGGGAGAGGACCTCGCGCCGGCCCAAGAAGGGAGCTCGGCGGACCAGCTCCCCATGGCCAAGAGAGCGGCCGCGCAACCAGAGCCTTTAGTCAGTTCTTAGTGAACATATCATTTGTATCGGCAGTTAAAACAATATATATATTTTTGTGATTCGGGCTGTGATTAGAGAGAGAAAGAAAAAATGTGTACGGCCATTTGTACTGGAAAAAAACGATAGTTCGTTGGAGTGTAGCACTTACATTATTGTAATTAAGTAATTTATTCACGACAGAATATACTTCCTGGCATTATTTATATAGCTTTTTAGTATAGGAGGGCATCAGTCACTCTAACTGCCACGTTCAGGTTTTAACAGACCAAAGACTTGGATCGGCATACAACTTTTTATCAACTGTATCAAAGTTAAAAAGAAGCGAAAAAAAAATAGAAAAGAAAGAAAACTTTCTTTTTTTGCCTTTACCAAGCATTTTACGTGACTTTTGTATGCTCATGTATGATGTGTAATAGTCCAAGCAAGAAGTGTGATTCTTTGTATATGTATACACCTATCATGTATCTAATGTAATTATGTTGCTGGTCATGTTGCCGTATGTTGGGAGGTCGGATGAACGCATAGCGCGTGCCGCATGTCTCTGTGATGTGGACGAGAGACGGGCAAAGACACGAAGACGGACAAATAGTCACAGACAGACAGACAGACAGAAAAAATGATTGCCTGCGAAGGAAGGAGCGAAAGAGAGAGAGCGAATAAATGAATGGGTGATTAAATGTTTGAATATACGGGAGATGCTAATTGACGTACCGAAGATAAGAGTGGATGCATTTTCCTGTGAAATGCGTGTGCGTGTGTGTGTTTGTAGACCAACAGACAAAAAAGAGTGGGTCATTGCTGAACAGACAAAAGGGAACAGCAAAAGCATCCTCAGATTTCAAAGAATGTCTAATCTGATTATCAGCAGTTCAGGTTTGTACCAGGTAACGAAAGCGAAGACAAAGAAGGACTAGATTTTTTATTTGGTATTTAAACATTTATCTTAAATTAAAATATTAATTTCTCTATCGGCAACAGCAATAATATGTTACAGTGAATAAAATTGTATTCACCAACAGCAAACCCATTGTCCATTTTTGTGCTGCCATTTCAAAGTGTTTTGTTTTTATTTGTCTTTTTTATTTTATTTTTAGAGGTCTTGGTGAACTGAGGTTAGATTAAAGAACGAGATTTTTGTAAAGAGAAAGTCTCCAAATTTACCATCCCTTTGTTGTGAGCACCGCTATCTGCGTTCGTCTACGTGTGGGCGGGATTTTGTAATCTATTTTCACAAGAATTTTATGCTAAGAATTGAGTATTATTGTCCTTATTTTATGTACACTGATGATGCACACAAAAAAGTGACCTTCCTTCCTGGAACACTG